AAAGGTCCTTCAGCAAGCTGAAATTAATTCTTACATACTTGAGAACCTCAGTAACTCAAGAACGACTTAGTAATTTGGCAATATTAAGTATTGAAAAAGACGTACTCAATACCTTAAATTTTGATAGTTTAATTGATGCATTTGCAGAAAAAGCACGAAAGGTTCATATAATGTAACCATGAATCCTGAATCCTGGAAGTTGGTGATTCTTTTTTCTATTTATCCCAATCTTTGGGGGTTATTCGTAGCCCCAAGATAGCTTCTTTATCAACAAGCTCACGCTGAGGCTCAGACCCCTTTGTTATAAATGTTCACAAAAAGTAAATATATTTGAATATTCCGATTTATTGTGGTTGAAAAAGGTCGCAATAGCTTAAACTTTTGACATAATAACACAAAAAATGTCCATCCAACATCATTTCTTTGAAACTGCATAATGTAGTTGCTCAAGTGGCTATAGGAAAAACTGAATTTTGTAAAACTGCAAAATATAGACCTTTAAAATATACTTAATTTCTCACATACTTTAATATAATAATATTGAAGTTATAACATAAACAAAATTAATAATGATTACAACTTCCAGTTTCAGCCACCACTCATAAATAAATATAAATTTTATATTGGATACGGGACTGTCTTTTACTCGTACGACATTAAAAACATAAAATAATAGCTAAACTCAAAAATCACTGCGAATGAAGACACTAAATTCTCAGTACGCTGACGCAGTTTCTAGTTATATTTTAGTAATGTTGTGCCCATACACTCAGCCCATTAGTTAATCAAAGTATCAATATTTTTATTATTTCATGCTGACTTGTGATATGAAAGAGTTGTTTGCACAAATAAACCTTGATAAAAACAGTGTTTAACACTATATATAAAATTTTGTTGTCATGCCACGGCCCAAAAAGCGTAGATAATTGTCAGTAGAGTAGAGAGTTCGCATAAAAGCTTTACGTGATGCTTGTTGGACTCTCCGTCAAATTGCTGCAGACTTGAAATGCTCCCCAAACTCTATCAAGTACACCCTAGATCATGAGACCGAGACAGGTAAATTTGAAAATAAAAAAGGAAGAGGCAGAACACTTAAACTCAATGAACTGATGTTAAGTATCTTCGTTTATGCAGAAGAAAGACTGCCACTGATCTCATGCATAAGATAAACGATCATGTACCAAATGACAAAAAAGTGTCCAAATCTACAGTATCAACGAGAATGGAATATTTGGTCGTATGTAACAGTTAAAAAAACCTATACTTCGATCTCCAAATATTGTCAAGAAACTGAAATTTGCTAAAAAAGCACAAAAACTGGACTGTTGATGATTGGAAAAGGGTGTTATGGACGGATGAGTCCAAGTTTGAAATATTTGGTTCAAAGGGTAGGTTGTACGTCCGGCGGAAGAATGGTGAAATATACTTACCTCAATGAATAGCACCTAACATGAAGCATGGGGGAGGCATTATGATGGCTTGGGGGTGTTTTTCTGCTGAGGCGGCAGGAGATATTTGTAAAATAGATGAATAATGGACCAGTGCAAGTACCATCAGATACATATCCATCATGGTATACCCAGTGGTTTGCGTATTATTGGTAATGGATTCTACTACCAAGAAGATAATGACCTCAAACATTCATCCAACCTATGCAGAAATTACTTAGCTAAGAAAGAAACTGCTGGAGTCACTCAAGTGATGCAATGGCCCCAACAGAGCCCTGACCTTAACCCAATTGAGTAGATCTGGGATTTGGTAGATCAAAAACTTGACAAATCAAAAGTTACTTCCAAAGAAACTTTATACTAGTGTATTAGAGACATTTGTAGTAAAATCCCAAAGGACACTTTGATTAAGTATGTTGCAACAATGCCTGAAAGACTGTCTGCAGTTATTAAACCAAAAGCACTTCCACTGAGTTTCTATTGTACTAAATATGAAGATTAATAAAATTTTAAGGTTTCACCTGTGATTTATCTTCCATTGTTCTTTGAAAGTAGCCTGAAATCTAATTTTTTACTCTGTACTGACACTTTTGCACAGTACTGTATATAAACAAATTATTTAAAAAGTAACTAACTAGAACCACCTACTCTCTTGAGTAACCAAATTCATGAAAAACTTTAATTAAAACATTTTAACAGACAAAATACAAAAAGCTGTGAGGGAGTATGTTATTATCTCCTTAAGTTATATATATAATACAAAAAGAAAACAATATATATATATATACAATAAAAGGGCGTATTTATGGCCACGTAAGTATTAAAACTGAGCTACAAAGTTCTAGCATATTTAGGAGGAGTTTAATTACTTGTTTTGTTGTTAAGCGCAAAGCTACATAATGGATTATCTGTGCTCTGCCCACTGCCGGTAGCAAAACCAATTTTTAGCATTATAAGCCTCATATGTACCAATGAGCTACCGAAGACTTTTCAGAGGAGATCTTTAAAACGAATATTATTAAACACTTTTATGATTACTGAAATGATAAAAGGATCAATGTAAGAAGATGATAAAGACAAGCTATCAACTTGAAAGAACTGATAGACAAAAGCTTACACAGGCTTCTGGTTTGTGACAGACAGGATACTTTAACAGGATGTTAGTTAAGGCATTCGGCTTGCCCTTTCAGCTGTGGGAACGTTATAATACGACGGTCAATCCCAATTTTCGTTTGTAAAGAGTAGCCCAAGCGTTTGCTGTGGGTGGTGTTGACTAGCTGCCTTCCCTCTAGTCTATCACTTCAAAATTAAGAAGTAGCTTTACGCGAAATTCAACATTTGCATTTATCAACATAACAAGTTTTGAGTTTTATCCATAGTTGTGAATAGATATGGAAAGAAAAACACAATCAGAGCAAATTATTATATTAGTCATCAGAGATCTTAAAGGTGAAAGAATTGCAAAAATACATGAAGTACTATAAAAACAGAGCAAAAAAAGCTTCTTTAGATATCAATGCTCTTTAGATACGTATAAAAGCAAATAATCCTCTTTTAATAGAAACCTAAAATCTGCAAACGAAACTCATTAAACACATTTAATGAACAGACGCAGTGCAAAAGTTTAACTTTTTAGTTAAATGAATTAACTAAACAACAAAAAATGTTTCAACATTCTACAGAGAATTAGTTCATTCACGTGAAATAAGATAAAATTATTTGTCAGTAAAAAAACAACAACAACTTGGACGACAAAAAGATGGTTTGTGTTTAAATATATATCCTTGATGATGTAGAAAATATGACCTATTTTAGTTTAAGTATTTCTATCACTTCCACTTAAAAAAAGGTAAGGTTCCTACAAACTGAAGTCCTTAGCTAACCTGGATATTGTTAGGTTTCATTAGGTTAATATAAGATTTTATGAAAGATATTAAAACAAAATAAAAGAGAGAGAGACTGTGAATACAACATGATATATTTTATATATATACATACATAAGTTTAATCACAAACAAAACTATATATCTGGAGACAAAAACTGAGGATTACGACAATTTGACTTATTGTTTCGAACTAGAACCATTTTTATGGGCTGTTTTGGTTATATTTTTAAAGCTGTAAACTTCCATGAAAAAATTTCTAAATGAAAAAACTGGTAAAGAAAGACGTAACCTGCGATAAACATTCAATAAACTCCTAAAGGAATAATTCTTTATAATACGAATGTTTCGGATAAATATTTCTATCATGTCTAATATTAATAGCAACATTTTTGAAGTCGGTTATATTCAACAAATACTCTTTTACTTGGTTTCTTATGACATTGATCTTATTAAAGTTTTTCGTTTATGCTTGACATAATTTTTCATGGAATAAACCACGAATAATGTTGTAAAATATGTATTTTTACTGACCATAACAATTTTACTTAACTTAAAGGTATACATATAAATTATATAACGGCCATAGTTTGTAGGAGATAACATTGACACTAGGTTTAAATAAGATAGGAATGACTCAAACTTTAACTTTAGCTATGGCATTTCCAAATTTTTAGTTGTTTCAGTGCAAACTTGTGTATTTTTGCATGCTTAAGTAATTGGATGACCTTTAACTTTGAATGTAATAAATACATATTTCCCAACGTTTTGGTTTTACCCTTGTATTAAGGGACTGCTGTACAGAAACACATAGAAAAAGATTTTTGTATATATAACTGACGTGCCAATTATAGTGTGAAAGTATATTAAACACGATTTTTGTAATTCTTGTTTACCTGGTTTTAAACTGTGTATTGTTTAAGACATGAGCCTATTTTTATATTATACAGAAATTATTTTAGTATTTAACTGGTAACACTTAGAACAAGAATTTACAACAAATTCACATGTTTTATACATCTGCACACTAGAAGTAGAACGACAGGTATAAATCCAAACATCTGTTTATATGATTCTGTGTTGCCGCCTTTAAATAAAACTATACAATTAAAACGTTGGGAAATAAAAGTTGATATCATTTTTAGCTAAGTATGTATGATTAGCAGTAATAAGACTAATATTAAAGATCACGTCACAACATACTGTAACCAAAACGTCACATTTCTAGATTCTCAAGCAGACAAACCGAAACAAGAATACATTTACTGCTATGTCTTTGGCATTAAAAGTAGACTACGTCTACGAATATCAATGCGATGAGGTTTATCCAAAAATTAGTCAATTTCACCAGATCATCTTTAACAAAGGAAATGTTTTCGAATCGACAGTCAGCATTATTGCACCGTCCGTAGAACAACAAATAATACTGACTTTTAGCACGTATCATTACTCTTTTAAACTCAAATTCACGAAAAACATTCAAGAAATTTAGGAAAGTACGGCCTAGCTAAAACAGATAAAATACGAAAAGGGAATAATGTTTCACCTGCAATAAAAGATTTCATTCGAACATTTTAAAAAGTTTCAATATAAATAAATAATTACAAATTAAATAAATAGTATTTTGGAAAAATCACAGTCAATCATTACGTTACACGAAAAATTCAAATCAATTTTCACCTGACAAAATTTTACTATTCAGGTATCCGTGAAGTGTATCTGATAAACTTATTACACTATTAATTACCTGACAATCACGTAACACTCTGCGAGAGCACAATTTTAAATCATCTATGCGTTCGTTTAAAATCTTGCTCGAGGAATTATTGGTTGCTATTCTTTGCCTTCGCACTTGATTAGCTAGTTGAAGAAAACATCTCACTTCTTTTAAATGAACGACAACTGCTTCAGCTCGACCTAAGAAAGAGTTTTCGTTAGGCCTAATGTTGGAACATGAGACTGTAGAATTTGCTTGTTGAAATTTCAAATTGTAGACATGTGCAGTGTGATTAACTATCAACTCATCCAGCAACAGCATGACCTGTGATTCGGATAGATTCTGAAAAAGAAAAAGAAATTAAAGGATGATATGAAATCCAGTGCACTTTCAGAATCATAAATTAATTAATTGTACTTCAATTTTTTTTATTTGCGAGAGGGTCATTTGTTTACGTCTTTCGTGACGTATTTTGTGTTCCTTTTCTTCTAATGTGTTTGCCAACTGAGAAAGTTATTTAAAATGTACGTGTTAGGTTTTGATCACTGATTATAGCAGTGATCTATACAATAATGTAGGTCTAATTTAGACCGTCAAAGTTAACGATAAAAAACAATGCTTTATTATTGTAACGAACTTATCATTTAGTGTCACTTTGATACACAATTCGTTTAAATCACAAGATTCTACGGCGAAATATAATATTTTCAATATGTAATACCAAGAAATAAAAAACAGATTATTACGAAACAGAGGCGTCACTAAGTGCTTATCAAAAGATTCGGGGCTCGGGCCCATAGGCGTGGGAATTTTTGTCGTTTCAGTATGATATTGTTACGTCTCTGTTCGTTTGTTAATTTCCCGTAAAAATTCTTTCCGAAGAACTTCAGCGATACAAGTCTTTCTTAAATAAAACTAGTTTATTCTTTCTCAATGACAGGAAAGCTGATGGCCAAAAGTGCAACTTTGTCATAGATTCTGCATCTCAGCAAACCCTTGTGAGTATCAAGGTGCTGAATCACAAAGGAGTACCAGAAGCCATACAGAAGCTCTGTGGTGTGGCAGGACAATCTGCAAGGTTGTGGGGACCAGTGTGGGTAACTATTGATCTTATGGGCATGAAGGACAGACACAAAGTATACTTGGCTGACATTGAAGACCCATGCATACTAGGGTTGGTCTACTTACTACCGAGGAAGTGTGTAGTTAACTTTGATAAAATGGCATTTGGGAACAACAAACGCCAAATTCCGGTAACTGTCAAAAGAGAGGTTGAACTAACCAGGTGTCATCAAGCTGAAGTCAAAGTGACTGAAGGAGTTGATGATGTTGAAGTGGAACCAAGTATAGATATTAATAGAAGAACAGCAAAATAAACATAGAAAGAAACAGGAAGAACGAGAAAAGAAACAAAAGGAGAGACAACAGCAGTGGCAAGAAAACCTGCAACAGTGGTAGCTTGAACAGCAAAATAAACAAGAGAGACTAC